TTCATGAAAACATTTTTTTTTTCAGAACTTCTTAGATTTCAGTGCTATGGAAGTGATTGTAGACTGTATTGACTGTAACATCCAGTGAGGAGAGTCTTAAGAATTTGCATTTTAGGGGGTGATAATTATAAAATGGACGAGATTTGAAGAAGTTGAGAAAGGTAAAGGCAGAGGAAGAGTTTCAGTAACTTCAGTTTTCAGGCTAAAAAGAGAATTGCTGCTTCTGATAAAAATGGGAAGTTGAGAAGGGGAGCTAGTTTGGAGAAGAGTTTAACTTTAAACTTGAGATTTAAAGTTCACATGAGATTTCCTTTTATTTTTCATGTATTCTATATCATGATTAAATGAGCTTAAAAGTTCAGGTATATTGTAGTATAAAGTTTCCTTTTAAAATGAGCACTTAGTTTTCAGAGCCTTCAGACTCGAATGTTAAGATATTGAAGTACTTCTGGTTGGAGAGGTGTTTCTGGATAACTAAGGTTCGGGGCCTTCCCCACCTGGAAAATAGGCCAGATGGAGTGGCGTGAGGTACTTGTCCCCGACAAGATTCTTTTCTGTATGGCCGAATCGTTAATATGGCCACATTTATAATGATATGAATATATTTAGAAGTAGTAATTGTTGCAGCAGCAGTGGTAGCTGCTGATATGTTTTGAATGCTTACCATGTGCCAGGCACTGATCTAAATGCTTTCCAACAAGCAGTCTAGTGGTATCTGTTTCTGCCTCGTAGACTGGGATATGACAGCAACCTAGGAGGGAAGCATTAGCATAGGTAGTGGTGTGATTTTGATTCCGAGTTCACTTAAAAATCTGGAATGTAGATTATTAATGCATGAATATACAGAATTGAGCAGAGTTTAACTATATTGTTGTTCTGTGATTTTCTTTAAATCTACTTTCACAAATGTACTCTGTTAATTCTGTCATATAAACAAAATCTCTTCAAAATAGGGACAGGTCCTTTACAAATATTAAATAAGGTCCAGTGGTTACACTTAAAGTTAGTTTAATTATTTTACATTTACTGTGAATATATGCATTTATTTTGTGATTCATAAGTTTTAAAAAGGCAAATTTTGTCTTAAACTTTTATTCAAATTCTACTACCAACTTGTACTATTTGAACTTTGTTTTCTTATTACATAAGGGTATTGTGCTGGATAATCTGTAAGGTTCCTTTCAATAACAGATTCTAAGATTCTGAATGTTTAAGTTTCATCAAGTAGGATAGAAAGCTTAAACTACAATTTAAAGGAGATTCTCCTTATTCTATAAGTGTAGATGAGATGCCAGATGAGGAAGTGAGAGAATGAATGTCATAACTTTACATCTTTATTCTTTTGACAAACAGTAAAAGAAACATAGAAATTAGGATTCCAGGAAACTAGAAGAATGTGCAGTGCTGACTAGAAAAGTTTTCAAGAAGAGAATGATCGGTAATCATTCAAGTTAATAATCAACCAGTCAAGTTAACACAATATAGAGGAAGGAACCCTGGACCCGGAGTTCGAAAGCCTTGAATATCTTTCTAGCCCTAACTCTGCTGCTTATTGGAGTTTTGATAATCAGTAAATTACTGAATTTTCTGAACCTTGCAGACTGAGTGTAATAACTACCTAGCCTTCCTCAGTGATTTTTCATAAGGATCAAATGATGTGATGAATTAGAAGTGCCTAATAAAACTTAAAGATATTCTGTTAACATTACAAAATGGTGGATGAGGATTCTTCAGAGATTATTGGATTTGGTGATTTGAATAAAACTGTTAAGAAGGGAGGAAACTTGAAGGCAGATTAAAACCTAGTTGAGACCATAGTATAAGTGCTCAGTAGATAAATTTGGCAAGGAATGAATGGTAAGAGACAGATGGCCTCGGATAGCATAGTCATTCCTTAATTTCTATTGCAGTTTTTTGTAAGCATGTTTGTGTTTCTTATTGGATTAGGAATAGGTAGAGTGCAGGAACCTACAGCTCATTCTCTGTTTCTTCAGTACCTTGAATAAAATAACAATTTTATTAAAGAGCATTGTGAATAAATACTTGCTGAACAAGACAACCGGTAAGGAAAAATTTTGTGGTATGAGTGTGTACATGGATGTATCTTTAAGATGATTAAGACTTAGTATGTTCATAGGTTGAAGGGAGAGATTACAAAGAAAGGGACATAATCTGGAGCCACAAATGAAAATGCTAGTCTCACTAGTAAGAGATTATTCCCCTCAAAGAGCACCAGACCCAGGAGGTTTTACCGTTGAATTCTTAAAAGCATGAAGCACCAGATAACAATTTCAGAACATAGTTTAAAAAAAAAAAAGTAAGCTTCCCAGTTTTTACAGTCAGCATAACATAAAATGTGGCATAAAAGACGACTACACACCAATCTCATAAAAGCTAGTACAAAAAAATGCTTAATAAAACTATCAAATGGAACCTTGCATTACATTAACAGAATAATGCTATAACCAAGTAGGATTCACTCTAGGAATTTAATGATAAATCAGATTAATTCATATTAGTACATGAGAGGGCAATATGAATACCTTGAGGAATACCAGAAGGGGAAATCAACACATTTGAGATAAGAATCCTTAGTGAAACAAGAATAAATAAATATATCTAAGATTTTATATAGCTCAGAGGAGAAGTCAGCAGTTTTTATGGTAAAATGCTAGAATTCCTATTTTAGTATTTAGTGAAATATGAAATTCCTTTTAAAAAGCCACGAATCAAAAAAAGGTCTGGCCAGCATTACTATTACATAACATTGTCTTGGACCTGATAGCCAATGCAATTAGACCAAAAAAAAAAAAAAAGTAATTATTTAAAAGGAAGAAGGCAAATTCATTATTTGTAAATGACATTGTACATGTGGAAAAGCCAAAAGAACCAACTGAAACTTTATGGTGAGTAATGAGATTTCAGTATGATAGTTAATCTAAAACGTTTCTTTTTGCTTTCTTCCTCCCTCCCACCACTTTTTCTTTTCTTTTCTTTTGAGTTGGTCTTTAAACCGAAAGCCTAGCCATATAGGTTAATAAATGGGAATCCTCATTCTTAAATTACTTTTTTTTTTTTGCCTTCTGGGAAATATAAAACAATTTTATCATCTCTACATAAACTGCAGTCTGTTTTCAATGAGACATTTTTCATGTTAACTTTAAAAACCATTTTGAAATAAAGTGCAGCAATGAATACATTTAGAATGACTTTAAGGAAATTTTTTTTTAATTCCTTGTGGCTTATGATACTTGCCCTATTACTTGCTAATGCTAGGGAAGTTGTAATCTGATCTTTGAACCATATATGGTAAACAATAATTTTGTGTGGAACCCACTGTTCTGTCAATAAGAGGAAAACTCATTGCACAAATGTAAGGTTTTTCTTTGCCCTTAAAGCATTTCCTGACTTAAAGACACAAGTTATGTCATGTACTGATTCTTTTGTTTTTTAAAATAACACTGTGTTTCGGATCTAAAACCTTTTAACAAGAGATGTGTTGACAAAAGTACTTTACTTAGAGAGAGAAGAATTACATGTCTTCTTGTTTGCCACTAATTCTCTTTATATCTGAAATGTAAATTGTTAGATTTTTATTCATCAGTTCTCAGAATTGAGCTCTTTCACACATTTGCTTTGTAGTTGTTCTGAAATCAGTGATGATAAATTGGTTGTATCTCTTAGGACGTGATGCAGATGAGTTATTTAAAACTAAAGCTTGTTACACAGCTGTTTTAGCATTTATGAAAATGAGAACTTCAGTATACCCATATCTTTAGGAAAAAAATGTTTTATTCTTTAGTAATACAGAAAATGTATTGACTACCTATGCTAGGTTATTACATACTTTAGCTAATTATCATGACAATCCAGTGAGGTGGGGGGTGTTGTCCCATTTGATAGAAAGGAAACTTTAGAGAGTTTTAGTCTAAGGCCTTAGTGAAACTAGACTTGAACCTAGATTTTTCTCTCCCAGTTTTTTTTCACCTACAGCTTGTCATCCCAAAAGATGGAAAATTTATATTTTTCTTAAAAATTACTTTTATTCTAATTTGCTTTGTTGTGTTACTAGTTACTAAAATTGCAGGGAGTTAAGTTCTTTGATTCCTTGTCCTCACTATTTTTTTGTCCTGTTACAGTCCTTACAATCTGCCATCATTTGGCAGCAGCAGAGAATTCAGTTTATTTTGACTGCTGTGGGATTCATTTCTTGGAGAAACTCCTTAGGGTGCCAGCTCACCAAGCATAAGGACATTGTTTCCAGGCCCTAGTAATCTAATTAGTACAACAATCTACCACTTTCAATATCCTACCATTTCTGTAACCTTTGTAGTTGCAAGTTTGTTTGTTTACTATGGACCTAACTTTTTAATCATTGAATCTATTTTGGTAATAGAAAAAAGAATTTCTAGTGTGGTTAAGAACCACATCTTATAAGCTGTTCTTTGCCTCCCTCTTTAAGAATTACCAAGTATTTTTTTAAATTGGAACTTGAGTTTCGATTCTTTGCTTGGATTTATCTAAGGCATTTTTTAAGAAACCTCTGAGGATTGATTTTAGGAAATTAGAGGAGCAGTTAGAAGGCAATTGGAAATAAGATAGCAAAATAGAAAAAGCAAAATGACCTGAAAATCAGGACTTCACAATTCGCTTTTACCATTGAAAATGGGTTTATTATTTTTTTCTTTTTGTTATACTCTGTGGTTTCATATGAGACAGTCTGTTGCTAAAAGCCACTAGAGATTTCATAAAGACTACTATTTCAGTTTCTAGAATTGGGAGTCCAAAATAAAATTGGGTAGATAAAAACAACGACATAACTAATGTAAATAGCATCTTCTGGTAACTCGTATTTTAAGAGATCCTTTTTCCACTTAATAATATTTTATGTGAGAGACGTTGGGGACTGCCTCACTGCTATTAGATCTCATAATGTTATCTGGTCACATTTCTTGTTCTGCCTACCTCTAGTTTACTCTAGTTTCTCTTCTGCTTTCAAGGCTCCAGACCCAGTTCCTGGACCTGCCCTGGGAAAGAAGTATCCAGTAGAGATGAGCTCACTGCAGTTACTTAATTAAAAATTTGTAAGCTGCAAAAAATGGCAATGGGCCAACCAAGAACAGCTACAATTTGAATTTTTCTATTTCCAGGTATGCTAAAGTCCATGGCACCAGTCAAGCTTAGCCTATGTAACTGCCTTAGGATGAAATCTATAATAACCAAAACTTTACTTTCAAAATCTTGCTTTAAAGTATAGTAGCATCCCTAACATCTAGGTAACTTGCGGCTAGTATTGACTTTAACATACCTCTTGCCTGAGTATTCCTAATTTAACTTGTTTGCTAGTAGTAGCAACCTAATTCAAAAACAATTTAAGAAAAATAAATCTGAAATGCTATTGAGTTAAGCCCTGTAAATGTACAAAAAGCACTCTGGTCTTCATTGAAAAGTAAACATTGACAACAGTAAAATTATCTTCCTTTAAGAGGTTCTCATATAGTGTATGTAGTATAAGGAATTAAATAAGTGACACTAGTTCTCCATCCTGCGTTCCTCAACTACTCTACACTACGAATGCTTTCACTTAAAGAGTTAATATGTTTTTCAGTAATTGGAAGTAATAGGTAAGATTTCTGGATAGAAGCAAGTAACATTTTATGTAGTACTTCTACCTGAAGAATTTAATTACATTTTAAATGTAAGTATAACTAATATTTGCTATATTTTACTTTGTTGCTCAAAAGAAGCCAGGCAAGAAAAGTCATAAATAGTTGGAATCGTAACAACAAAATTAAAATGTAACAATAAAATTAAAAACTGAGGTTTCTTGCTGCCTTAGATTTTAGTCAAGAGAAAACTACTTATGAATAGTTAAAGGGTTTGAGGTCAGTTAGCTTTTAAGGACATTTATTGCTTTTACTAATTTGTATGGATTTAGAAACAATCCATAAAAAGTGACTTTATTTACTAAATGGGTAGATAATAATACATGTCTTTTGATTTTAAAGTGTGATTCAGGTTAGTTAGAGATTACCCAATATTGAACAGAGGAATTTTATATTCCAGTTGTTTTAAGAGGTGATTCTAGTATTATAGCTTATGCTTTACATTCCCACCTCTAATGTTACTGCATAATGAACTTAATGTCAGCCAGTTTAGTCATCAGTAGGTCACTGATTATGTGCTACAATATTTGTTAGGTATTGAAAGAATTTTAACTTATTGAGTGTTGAGTTAGGACTGGAAAGGAAGCTACTACTAAAGTTATAGGAGCATTACCACCATTAAGTGAATTAAGGGGAAATCAAAGAGAATTGCATCTGAATTTCAAGTCTTATTAGTTATCACTGGGACTATTAGTGATGGTAAAATCTTTATTATTGAATGCAAGTTGTGTTTAAAACACGGCTCTAAGCACAGTAGGAATGTTGAAATGAATAAACCTTACTTTTAGTGAACTTTTAAAGTATCATACTAGAGGTGCAAACAAGGTACTTGAGAGTGCGCGAAAGAATCAGTTTTATGGGGAAGGTTGTGTTTCTACTGAGCCTCGAAGGATTGATAGAATTCTTTAGAGAGAACGGCAAGAGTATTTCTAAGTTATGGAAATAAAAGTATGTAATAATGTAGAAGTTGGGAGCAGTCTAGTGTGCTTAGAGAATAGTGGAATACAGAAAGATATGACAGGAGATAGAGTTCTATCATACATGCTTTCGAATGTCATGTGAACAAGTTTGACTTAATTCAGTAGGTAATGGGGATCCGTTGAAGATTTGTTAGCTAGGCACACTTTAAATCAGTGAGTTTTTTGAAAAGCTGACTGCGATAGAGTGAGGGTTGCTTGATAAAGTTGTAGATTAGGCAGTAGCAATACTTAATAAAGGACAACATTTATTATTATGTGTCAGGCATTATGTGTGAAGAGTTTTACCTGCAATTTCTCATTTAATCCTTACCACAGGAATGTTGTAAGAAGTAACTGAAATAATACATGTTAAGCTTTTAGCACAGGACCTCACCCATAGTAAGTGCTAAATCGTAGTGTTTATACTGTTAGCTCAGAGAAAAGTGTTCCTGTCCACCTTTATATGTGATAACTTTCTATATGATAACTTTCTATAAGAATGTTATGTTTATTGGGGGACTCTTAAGCTTAAGATGATAACAATAAACTACCTCTTTCTTTTAAACATTAATTCATCTCATTGGTGGATGAGTACTACTTGGTTTGAGGACTGCGTATTAGTTCACATTGAGTTAGCCTTTGGGAGGAACAAAAGGGAGAGACTTGGCTTTTTTAAAAAAAAAAAACAACTGGATTGTAAATTCGGAGACTACACATAGAGATGGTTAGTCATCCGCCTAAATATATAAGCCCATAGGTAATATTTAAATTAAAACCGTAGTTCTCATCTGTCAAGCATCCTGAAAATTGATCATTGTTGCAGCTGTTAACTATATCAGTAACAGTTTAAACATAGATAACATAGCTTTTGAGTTATTTGAAAGTTCATATAGTTGGCTAAGTACAGGTACTTTCACATAACTCATTCCATTCTACTATTACTCTCCTACCCACATATCAGCATAAGATAATGTTATGTGGTAATATATAGGAAATAATTTTATAGGGGAAATATTCTATTCTAGTTGTCTCAATTGTTTATAATTAATTGTATAAGTAATACATGAATATGTATATTTTTGTAAAAAAAAATGAAAACAACAGAGATTACTAAATCTCCCTTTACCCAGCACCCCCGTCAAAAGAATTAATGATATCCTTTCAGAACCTTTCCTATACATTTCATAAAAAAATATCTCTTTAAAGTTCATCTCTTTTTGGTATCTCTTGTTAAAAAAAAAGTATCATTTATGTAGATTTGCATCTTTTTTTCATTCATTCATGTCTTATAGGCCTTTCATAGAATTATTGAGATATCTTACTTAAAAAACAAACAAACAGCTGTTTGGTATTCCATAGTTTTGCTGTACATTAATTTACTTATTGATAGATATCCAGGTCGGTTTTAGTAATACGCACTGAAGTGACTATCTTTGTGTGCTCCTCTTTAAATATCTGTTTATCTCCAGATTAGATGCTTTAATTTATATAGACACAGAGATAGAACTCTAGTACTTTATTATTAGTAACGAATTTCATTTAACCCATCTCACAACTGATTGCAGTAGCAATGAGTGTGACACCACAGTTGTGTACTACTGGCTTAGAATACTGATCTGCTACTGACTTAGTTGAAATTGGATATATCTCTTAATATGTCTCTTCATAATTGTCTTAAGTTTAAAAAAATGATATAACAGTTGTCTTCTCTGCTTCGTATATGATGAAGATAAAATGAGATACCTGTATGTGCTATAAGAAGTCCAATATAAATCTGAATTCCACTAGATTATAATCTCAAAAGCAGGGAGTATATTTTATTCATCTTTGCATATTTAGAGTACCTTGCCTAGCATATTGTAGGCAATGTTTATGGAATGGATTCCAGAAATGGTGAACCAAAAAATGGATCACATCTATGAGAAAGTTCCAGACCAGTAGAAATTTCTTATACTTATCTTTTACATTATCTGAAATCTGTATATTTTTCACTGAAAATTTGCCACCTTTTCAACCTCATATGTCACTGCCCTGCTGCATGCACCACAGCCACAATTCTTTAAATTTATCATGTTCTTTCACAGCCTTTCCCTCAACACAAACAGTTGTTAAGTGATATCTTGCAAGACTTACTATTTCTCATGGCTAAACTCAGCCACTACATTCTTTGTGAAGTTTCTCATGCCTGTCTTCAATTCCTAAATCTTAGGCACTTACTCGGCTTGAATCTCCATTGCAGCTTATACACCTCTAAGTGGCACAGAGTGAATGTTACTGTAAATGCATGCCCGTGTCTAGGACTTGGTGGAATGTCACAGAAACAGGCAGGGCGTGGAGCTTCAGAGATGGATTATCTGAGTTGAGAAAGTGAGAGGGATATTGTTTTTGCTGACTTCTGAGATGCAGCACATGTGATGCAGAAGGCAGTTACAATCTTCTGTGATGTGACTGTGCCTCCCCTACTAATTCAGCTTCATCTTTCATCACACTTTCTCGCTGTTAGTCTCTTTCCACTTCAGTATTTGCCATCTACTTTTAGTTTCCCAAACTTGTCATGCTGTTTTATTCCTTTAAGCACTTATATCTGAAATATTCTTTCCCTCTCACCTGTCCACCTGGTGAACACATTTTTATCCCCTAAAACCTACTTTAGCTGTCACCTTCTTTAATGAATCCTTTTCTTAAATCTTACCCTTACCTCAGAATTCACTGATCCCTCTTTGTTTCCTTTGTGTACTGCACACTATATCTGTATCAACTCAGTTATTCATTTATTTATTGATATGTTTGTCTTCCACTAAAATGTAAATTTTTTAAACATAGGCAACTGTGTTTTTTTAATTTTAATATTTTCAGCATTCATTATAGAGTAAGTAGTAGTCAACACGTTTATTGAGTAAGCAGTATATATAATACATATGAAAATATAATATATAAAAATACTACACTAGAAAATATTTCATAAATGTTAAGTTGATCACTTTCATATAGTGCATATTTCATATTTCATTAGGAAAGTCTATATTTATGGATAAATATTATAAGATAAGATATCTAGGTTTTTTTAACTGTTATACAATTTAAAATACTCCTAAATTGACTATTCTCCAAGAGTATCTATAATTATTTAGAGCAATGTGAAATAGATTTATATGCAATAAATCTGCTCAGATAGGAGTTTTTGTACAGTTCTGAGATTGTTCTTGACCATCTAACAAAAAATTTACTCACCATAACTGTAATAAGACTGATAGCCAACTATACAACAGTTTCATAGTGTTAAATTTGAAAGAATGGCACATACTTAACAAAATTATTGTACGTATTGTATTTTAGACATTTTATTTCAGTTTAATATTTTACCAGTTTTAACTTGGCTTATTTTGAATTCTCCATAATTTTTTTAAGATTCTGAGTACTATTATAGTAATGAAATCTTTTGTTTAAATGTTTTTTTTTTTTGCACATAGATTTTTATGTATTTTCTTTGTTAGGAAGCTTAGCAGTCTCATGATTCACCACAGTTGTCAAATTGCCAATTAAGTGTATGTGTGTAATTTAAAAATTGCTGATTTAACTTTTTGTTAGTTATTAAAAGTTTTAAGAGATCAGTAATAACTATATATTTACAGTGTCTGTCTAATTCATGAACTTAATTGTCACACTCCCAGTGCCAGAACACACACCTAGGCATCGGCCAGCAGTCCACCCTGGGAAAAACTCAGCTGAGGGCCATGACATTAGAAAGGATGAACAAAGTTAAATGAGATGAATAGGAAAAACATAGGGCCAAGAAGGGATTGAAACAGCATGGGGATCAGTCGATGAAACTTCTCGTAACTTTTTCTGAATCTTCATATTAAGATGACATTTTATATTAATATTTTAATCAAATTATTATAATTTTTACATGTCATTGATCTTGGTTTGTTACAAATGTTTGTGGTTGACATAAGATGAAAATTGGTTCTTCCAAGTGCTTTAATTATCTTTTTTCCCCTTTACCCATAATTAGGAACTTACTGTCATATCACACTTATATCATGTTTTTTTAAAGGTGATATTTATGCACAGGGTGGATTATCCAAAAATTATAGTAAAAAAAGGTGCACTGAATGATAACTTTGTTTTAATATTAAAGCACTTAATGTACTGAAAAATAATATGAATTGAAATATATGCAGAAAGGTAGTTATATAATGTTTTGATGAATTATAACCATTCTGTCTTAGATTTATTGCGCTTTTCTTGATCCTTAGAAAATGGTAGCACTCGCCACAAAACCACAGTACATAAATTGCCAAGTGTGGCTGACTTGCACATTCCTTTTAGAAGAACTTATTACTGGTAAGCCTTTTAACCATAAGAAATGATCAACATTCATGGACTTGAAGCAGTGTGTTAACTGAGCAAATTGGGAAGTTTTCTTTTTATAGAAGATAGTGTGTATCATTGTTACTTCAGCTAGTAGTGTTTATTATTTTTCTTTAGAAAGTAAACCATAGCCTTATAAATTAAGAAATCCGTTTTTTTGGTAACATAATCCTTTGTTCCCTTCAAGCTTTTAAATAACTCTAAATCAGAACATAATAGTTAAAGTAAGTAGCATTTTGATGATTGATTTGGTATGTTTGTTATTTTGTTTTTGCAAATAACTGGTTAACTATATAGAATGATTCAGTAGGATAGCTGTTCTATGCTAATGTTTATGCTAAAGGTGGATTATAATTATCTTGTTTCTAATCTTCAGTGGTGATAATATTTGAATTCTAGATTTTTAATTGCATAGTTATAATTCTTGTACTTTAACTCTTAGGAAAATAACTTGATTATAGACTTTGAGGGGGAAAGTTTGCTTTGCCTTTGTAAAGTTGTAACATCATGCCCCAAGAAATAGAATTCTCATAATTTACTGTTAAAAATAATTTTGAAATTTGTTTGGTTAATGACATTTGTAAATTCTTTTAAAGTTAATCAGATGTAAAGTGCATCAACTTACCTAACTGGCATTTAATGAGATACTTATGTAATATATCAATAATGTAAAAGAGGTTTAAAATAGTCTACATAATTAGACAAGTAATACGATTTTTTTCTGGTTTAATCCTGAAATGTTAATTGAGGCCAAAGGTGTTAAAACTTGCTTTAACACTAATTTTAAAAATTATAGCATCATTCAAGAATGGAATAATATTTTTATTCCCCATATCAATGCTTCTTTCTATGATAAAGATATTCTTTAAGAATAACTCACTGCACAGTCTTTTAATGTCAGCCAATCCATAGAAGAGACAAATTATAATTAGTAATAAGAAACTGTTAACATCATATTGACAACCAAACAAATAAGTTGAAACATCCTGACTTCCCATTAGGCATCCTGGGGAAGGAAGTCTGTGTTAACAGTTTTTGAGGTCAGGGGGGCTTTGCAGTACAGAGAGTTCTGTTATAATTTAACATAAGTGTTTCTAAAATTCACCATGCTTTGCAAATCATGCAAAAAGGGCTTATGGAAAATGTGGAATTTGTGGTACAACACTCAAAAACTTCATCAGTGAACATTAAAAAAAGATAGGAACCTTTAAAAAAAACCATGGTAGTATAGTTTTATAAATATTAAATGGTTAAGAGATATATAAATACTTATATAATATTTATACAAGTAAATATTGTTCTTTGCTTTGAAAAAGCCTGAAGTTTGCTTATGGAAGTGAGCATAGATGTGGCAGCTTGTTACGGTGAAGTGGTCTTCTGAAATCAGAAGGAAAGTTGTAACAAGATGTGGATGGGTGTGACTGACTGCATGCAAAGGCAGTGAGCTGAGGTGTTTTTGTTTGAGGTGTGCTAATATTTACGTTTTATTTATTTATATGTAGCTTATATGTGCTAAGTATGGCTTTCTGCTTTCACCTCATGTATCTTGCAGACAAAATCACTTAATGCTCAAATTGTTCCCTAATATATCAATTGTATTGGAACAAATTTGCAGTTTCAAAACAAGGTATTATAGCAGCTCTGTATGTTAGGCTAAGGAAAACACTTCAGTTTGAAGGGATAGATAGCACTTTTTATAGTAGTCTTTAAAATGTAGGTACATTCTCATGCGTACTTAGAGATATATTGCAATAGATATTTACTAAGTATCTATTACTTTCCTTACACTTTGAGTAGGTAGGATACAGCAGTGAAGAGATAGTTTCTCCACTATGGAACTGGTATTATTTGTATAAATTTATTTGTCCTGGCCGAGGGTTGGTTTTAAGAGGTAAAATTGAACAAATGTGTGAAAGAAGTCTAACAGGGACTTTTTTGAGACAACAAAGTTTTTCTTTAACCTCTTAGATTACATCCTTTTACAAGATAATTTCCTAGAGTCCTGTCCAACTCAGTATTCCAATATTCACAGAAAATGTTATCATCTCTAGAAGTTATTATGGAAACTAGAATTAAATTTTAGAATGATTTATATGTTAAAATGGAAAGACCTCCTTACCTTCTTCTTCTTAAGGTAAAGGAGAATCTTAAAGCTGTTGAGAAGAGACTTTTAGTTTTATATATTTTATCCTGTTTCTCTTTAATATGCCACATGAATGATATTGTTCTTTTAGAATAATTAAATATGTCCCAGTAAAACTCAATCATGTAAGAATGGAGCAAAGATAAAATATGTATATAAGTTTTACATAATCCCAAAACTTTAGTGTTAGTGTATATCAAGGCTTTCTATAATAAAGGCCACTACACACTTGCAGCCTTCATTGGCCTTTCTTGTCTTCTGTAACTACTCCCCACCCAGACCTCCTTTTTCATAATTCCCTTCTTTCCTCTTTCTCCTTTTCTTCTAGCCAGACAGGTGACTCGTTGTATCCAGAATCTGCCTAGTATTTGGTTGCCTTGCTCCAGACTTTAACTTACTTATTTAAGTACTCATGATTCAAGACCACCTTCCTCAGCCCAGACAGCCCTTTAAGTACCTATAGCACAGTTTATACCACTTATCTGGCACTTATATACATCCTACTATTGTTTAGTTTTTTCAGGCAGCTTTGTTCGAGTTCCCTGGTTACACAGTCATTTATCCATATACTTGGAAGAGGAAGGCCTCAATGGTTCAGTCAACTCCTTCAGTATTCTGCAACCAGAGTAGCATGCAGCCCTGTTTGCTAAGGTTTTGTTCCTTTGTATTTTGTGAAAATTCATGATATTTAGAATAAATAATTATTACTTCCAGTGTTTGTGTTTTTTTGCTACAGGGCAGGCAGGTGCAGTAATATAGTTAACTTTCACTGTGCTATCACTAATCCTTGAAATTCTTTGAGTTCTTTTCTCTATTTTATAAAGAAGAAATAATAGTATTCCTGGCTAACATTTACATAAGCTGTTTTATTTCTTGTGTGCTTACTGTGTGCTCTTTTTTCTTATTTTACATGTATTTCTCATTTAATTCTCAATCATATGAGATAGCTACTCTATCATCATTTTATAGATGAGGAAACTGAGGCACAGAGAAGTTAAATGATTTGCCCAAGAAGACACTGCAAGTAAGTGGCAGATTAAGTTTTATAAATTAATGAACACAAATTATAGAATCCTGGAATTTATACTTAAGCAGCCATCATTATGTTTCAGATACTGTATAGTTTATGTACATTACCTCATTTAATTGTCTCATCTTATTAAGTGAAACAATGCTCACTAATTTAGAATTGAGGTTGAAATATTTAGCGTGTTAGGTCATCTCTGTTTTTATCTATTAACATGTTCTATTAACATAGAAACAAATGGCTTAAGTTGAATACTGTTTCTTAAAATTATACTCTTAGGAAATTCTGCTCTTTAGGAAACTTTGAAGGCTCTCAGTGACATTTAACTTATTCATTTGTTTTTTTATATAAGATTTTAATAGGAAAGGCCAATACTTTGACTGTCAAGTTTAAATTATATAAATCTAAGTAGTTTATACAAGGTACATTACCAGTTACTCCTTTTATTTTAAAAGTTGATTCTCTGGGAATTTACCTTTGCTCCATCGTTTACTTTGTGTGTTACCTCCTGGTCAGAAGTAGTCAATTTCTGTCTTTGACATACTTTTCTATATCTCTGTAGTCATTTTTGTTTTTGTTTTTAATATCTCATTAAGGCAGCTTGTTTGCTAGAAAGTAACACGTGTCATCTAAATCTATAGCTTCAGTAGTAGAATAGTGGTATTCCTTCCCCACCTCCCATTTTTCCCCATTTTTCCTGGGGTTAGAATTGCAAGAGCTTTGATGTTTTATTGGACTTGATAGAAAACCAGCTTTCAGTCACACATGGTTAGTAGTCTACAGGGTTTTTTTAAGAACATATATACTTTTCCCAAAATGCTAGTATAGGAAGGGACCTTGGAGATACACTCCATCTTTCATAATAGACTAAGTGGCTAGGCTAACAGTATTTATTGAAAAAAAAGTAATATAAACATTGAATTTGGATTTAAGCAAAAATTGTGAAATAAGTAATTAGGTAGATGAGCATAGGAGTGGGGAAGCATGGTGTAAATATGAGATAGGAACTGAATTGTAAAGCTATATCTTCATTTTTCCACTGTAGGAAATCCAGAGATAATGTATGAAATTGGAAGGGAAAAAAAAGAACCCTGTAATCATCACGTGTAGGAATGTGGAGCAACAGCTCAGTGGTTACTGCTACCGAATAAGATCAGAGCGGTGATACATGACGCAGAGGATTTGCTGCTTTCCCCAATGAACTTTGTATTACTGTCTGACTTATTACAAGCTGTTACCGTTTCCTGATTAGACTACAGCAGTAGTTATCTAACTGGTCTTCTCATATGTTCTTTTGCCACACTATGGCCATTCTCCATATATATATATATAAGTTCTTGATCATGTCACCTTACCTGCCTCTTAGCTCTTAAATCCTTCAGCAGCTTCCCATTGCTCTGAAGGTAAAACCTTCAGATTTTAATGGCCTTTAAGGCATTCCACCTTTTTTTTGCTCTCTGTTCTGTACAATTTTTCCTAATGTACCATGCCACCTTCCAGTCTCTGATTTTGAATGATGAAAAAGAGATTTTTAAAAAATGGCTGGTAGCAGCAAAGATAGATTGAGGTGGCAGGCAGCAGATCTGGCAGCAGAAGAAGGCAGAAGGTAAAATAGTGAGCAAGTTAAAATAGTTATCCTCAATTATGAACTTGTACCGATGTGCCTTTAATCCAGGAATTTTTGTGGCCTGGAGAGCAAAGGCATTGACTCTAATGCTTACTAAGCTGCCCTTAAATTCATGGGTCATGGATAAATAGATGATAGTCCAATTTTAAATACTCTTATTCAGTTGCCTCATAAATGCCCAAATTTTGGCCAGACCTATAAGTCCTGTTGCTTTTCTCTGTTGTTTTTTCATCTGAAGGCTGTGGTCTCTTGTGGGTACAGTCAAACGAATAGCTGTGTTGTACTCCTACAGTCCTGGAAAAATTCACCTTGATAAACGATGGTGAATATGAAGACTTGCTGTCATAGCTTGAAGTCTGAGTGAGCCACTAACTGATACTTGGTGCTGTCATAATTGAGAGGTCAGATAAATTGTTTACATACTCCTGAAGAAAAGAAAGAATAGGGTACATTTTATAAACCTTTCCAATATATTTACTCTTAGGTTCTGTGTGGTACTGTATATACTCGGCTACTGTTTAGAATCCTTAAGAAATGAATCATTTGAGCTGACAGCAGTTTAGGTGCCAAAACTTTGCACCTAATGCTAGAAACATTTCTATAAAGCATGATTTCTTTATTCTTTTCCCAGAAGAGCAGTCATGTTTGCATCTTTTCACAGAAAATGTTTCCTTTCATTTATTACTAGAAAAAACTTTCAGATTAAGTTATAAGGTATTTCTTGCTTTTCCTTTTGAATTTAAGTAGATACCTGTTTGTTTATTTCAGTCAATATGTCTGGGAGCCCATCAAGATCTTGATTTATAAATTTATCTTTTACTGATTTGTGGAAATTTTTAGCCACTACTTCTTCAGATACTTTCCCATTCTCTCTCCCCTATTCTTCTGGATCTCCAATTACAGGTATGTTAGAATTTTTTATGCTTTCCTACAGGTCTCTGAGGTTCTGTGCACCTCCTACCGAGTTATTTTTTTCTCCATCCTTCAGGTTGTAAAATTTTTTATTGCTTTGTCTTCATGTTCATTGACTTTCTTTTGTCATTTCCAGTCTATGGTTTAATCCATCCAGAGAATTTTTTATTTCAGACATTATGTTTTTCACTTCTTGAATTTGCATTTGGTTCTGTTTTTAAAAAAAAAAAAAATTTTTTTTCCCCCTGAGAGATCCAAGTGTATGTGCCCTTAGTCCTTGAGCATAGTTAAAATAGCTGCTTTTAAATCCTTATGGTCTAATTCATCTTGGGCTGTGTTTCCCGTGGTTGCCTTTCCTCTTGAGTATGGGTCAATTTTTACTATTTCTTATATATAATAATTTAGATTGTATCCTGGGCATTATGGATGACATGTTGTAGAGACTATAAATTTTATTGTATTCCTCTGATGAGTATTGCTGTTTGGTTGGTTGATTTGCTTGCTTATTTGCCTTTTTGTTTTGCTAGGCAATTAACGTGGCTGAGCTCAAACTACAGATTGAAATCTCAGTTCTGTTTTATCTTTAGCTTGGCTGCTTGGAATCTCTCACATATGTATAGTTTGAGGATCAGAGATATGTGCAGGATACATAGAATTTGGTGTTTCTCTTCTTTTTATAATCTACTCACTAGGTTTTCAGCTGTTGTGGTTATCCCAAAGTCTGTTCTTTGGTTCACTAAGAAAGCAAGACTGCAGGTTTTCTGCCTAGGTTTTAGCTACCCAAACCAACTGGGGCCTGCTCTCTGGCTAAAAGCCATTTTAAAAAAATGGAAAGTCACCCCATGCTATTCATTCTTCTGAGTACTGACTCCCTTCTCCTCCCCACCCCTAGCACCACCATCACCCATTTCCTTCTGCCTTCAAGTAGTTATTTTTTAATACTTTGTCTATTGTTCGTAATTGTTCTTGGTGAAAGAGTGGATCCAATAGGAGCTACTTGGATTCCAGGAAGTGGAATCCCTAAAATACAATTGTACATTTGAACAATTTCCTTATTTGTGTACTTGATAATCTTTAGAAAAGCAAGCGAGTATGATGAGTTCTTCAAAGAACATTGATGATATCTGTATATATTTTAATAATGGAGAAAGTTGAGATTTATTTTCTTGATTCATTCTCTTTTAAGTAATAAAGGTGGTCCAGAGTTAGACTGAGAATTTATTTATTTGCTTCTCCCTCAAATTGTGTGTACATTTCCAAATCTGGATCATTGGAAATGCATTTCGAAGCAAGGTAACGTAAAGAAACTACAATAAAACCTTCATTTCATCTAACAAATGTCGCATCTTTGACCAAGGTCCTGTGAATACAGCAGTGAACTTCAAAGTTCTTGATCCTGTGGAGCCAACATTTAAGGATAGATAGAATATAAATAAGTACATGTCAGGTATTGATAAATGCTATGAAGAAAAAGCAGGATATGAGAATGTGATGGGGGAGGTAGACAAGTGTGGCATTATTTTAGGTAGAGTTTGGTCAGGGAAGCTATCTCTGAGGAAGCGCTATTTGATCAGAAATCTTAATGAAGTAAGAAGAGGAGCCATGCAAGTATCCGAGGGAAAAGTGTTCTAGGCACAGAGAGCAGCAAGTCCAAAAGCCCTAAGTAAGAAATAAAATCGACACTTTTGAGAAATAACCAGAATTGAAGGAGCTCATTTTAGAACTGCGGGAACAAGGAGAGTGGTGGAAGATGACATCTGAGGGATTGTAGTTAGCCAGGAGCCTTGTGGTGTAGGATTTTGAACAGGGGGAATGATTATTCTGATTTACTTTCCACAAAGATCACTTCACTCAAATGGAGTTGCGGGGTGCAGGTGGAGCAAAGAGCAGAGGCAGGGAGGAGACTTTTTGCTTTCAATCTAGATGATTTATGATGGCGGCTTGGACAAAAGCAGTAACAGAG